TTTGCAAAGAAAAAATGTATCTATCAAACAAACACATAACATTTTTCTAATAAATCATGTTTCAGAGACAAATTCAGCATAGGTTTTACAAGTACACAACTTTTTTTTACAAGTACAAAACTTTTTCTTCTCAAGGCGGAATATTACTGCCAAAAGTCACGTGACTCACTCACGTGACTTTTGGCAGTAATATTCCGCCGTGGCTGGCTCATACACACCAAGCCCCCAGGAAGTGCGCCGGACTCTGATGAAAATATTCGTGCTGGCCAAACGGCGGTACTACACTTCCTTTTGGTTGCCAGGCCCGGAAACACTTTTTCCCATTGACTTACATGGGGAAAGAGTGGTCTGTAAATCGTTGGATAATTTTTTTTAAACTAAATAAACTACCCAGTATGAACACTTGTATAGCCCTTATTAGAAACATTCGTTCCTCAAGTTGTAAAAATGTGCTAATAACGTTATTCTGTGAGTTATTTCCCTCTGCATTATGAACGCGCATCTAACCCACGGGACCGCGCCGGGCCGGCACGTTCATGTTACGTGTTCAGCACTACATGCGTTTATCTTTACCCATGGATGCACAATAAGAACGGACCCATATCGCCTTACTGCCAGCCCACGGAGCTGTAATAATGGATATATTGCACATGTTTGCTGTAATTCATCATTTGTAAAATATTATACTACATGGGCTGTATGATTAAATCTTGTACCGTAAATGTTGTATTAAATAAAGTTAATATTACCGACGTAGATTAACGTCCCTGTAGCTTCTTATTGCACTAAGAAGCTTATTGCACTGTATATATATATATATATACATATATATATATATATACAGTGCAATAATTCTTTCATGCTAAATGAAGCTCTGTTGCTTGGATATCACTAGATCCTGTTACAGCGTAATATAAAAGTACATAACGATTGATGTGTAAATTAGCATAATTACTAGCTAACCGCTAGCTGCTAACTGCCGCCTCGTTAATATCAAATCTATCATAATAACAAACCATTACCATGCTGTCATGAACGTGCGGTGCTGTTACGTGTACGCAAATTGACGTGCTTGATGTGAACGAGCATTTTGGGGGGCATGGTTAAAGTTGCGCATGCGCTATGAGCGCACATACGGGTACTTCTCAGGCATGCCGGGTAATCTGTGACGTTTCGCTCTCTCAAAAGTTGGGCCATTTTATCATCATGCGCGAATGAGCAACTCTCATAGGAATGAATGAGGCCCCGCCTCCCACGCTGTATCCAGTTCTTATTATACATCCATGATACACACTCACACATGCTCACTCACACATGCTCCACGGCAGCAGGGGGCACTACTGAGTCCATTGGGAAGGCGGGAGGTTGAGCAGAGCATGGAACAGCCCTTGCCAGCCTGAGGTGTTTCTAGCGATCCAGCGGTCTGGGTCAGTGTTATAGTGATAATATTATACACAAGGTGAATTTAGCGATCACAACGAAAACAGCCAAGACACATATTGAGCCCAGAAAATCAATGTTCTTAGGGCGGTAAATATAATAAGCCTTTGTCTAAAATGGACAACATTGTAACTAAGGAGATTTAAACTATACAGCGATTCTGCACTCGGTCAATCAGCTGCTCTTCATTTTCTTTCCTGCTATATTCAATGAGTGATATATTATGAGAGAGAGAGAGAGAGAGAGAGAGAGAGAGAGAGAGAGAGAGAGAGATTCAGGAGCCCAAACACACTCACAACTTTAAATAAACTAATCATTAAATAAACAAGTTTACATTATGTGTTATTGGCTTTGCTATGTTATTGGTTGTGGTCATATTCTAATGGTTTCTTGACTGTTGAAATATATACAGTTCTGTTTCATATGGGTCTTGAGAGATGTCTCCATAGATCTCTTAATGTTGCTGCCTGTCCAGGTAAGTTGTTGAGGCACTCATCATGCTCAGATTTGTAAAACATTGCACAGACGTCAGGAATGGTAAAAGTTCTGAGGTCCTGTAGTGAATGCATTCTGACATGACCAGCAGGCTCTCTAGCGCCACGAGGCCACACAAGAGGGCCACACAACTCGCACCAAAAGTCCGATTGACTTGAAATGTGGTCCACACATTGAGCTGAAGACGCTTTACAAAAAGAACTACCAGGCTCCGCCCACTCAGATGTGTTGCTCATTAGCATAATGTGAAAGCAGTTTAATGACTACAAACTTTTCCATTTTGAATCTCTCAACACAATACTTTCTATAAAACATCCGGGGACAGTCATACACATTACTCTTCAAAATGAGCAAGATCAGTCAAAAAACATGTTCGCCATGAATCGAAATGGAAATAAATGCTCATGCCTCATTGGATATGTTCAAACTTGATACCGACCCAGAGGGGCTGCTAAGATCAACACAAATGTGTAACTTTCTAACAGAAATTAAGAAAATTATAAATACCTGCTCTGGGGGCGAGTATTAAATAAGATCTCATGTAACGTGGTGATTTAATAATGTGGGCGTGGCCTATGACGTTTTCTTAATTTACCATGATCTAGAACGGGTGGGGAACCTTTTTCCTCTCAAGGGCCATTTCAATTTTTTCAACATCCTCCGAGGGTCGTACAAATTATTGACCTCTGCTTAAAAATACTAAAATCACAGCCCATTAATTTGGCCTTTCTTTCATGCTGTGCAAAGAAAAAGCAACCTCTCAATCCAGATATCTTGCCATGACTCGCGCATGCACGTGCACGATGTGGCATGACCCCCAAAACAGAAAGATATGGACACAAGATGTGTGCAAATGTATTTAGTTTCTTATTCATGTGGACATGATTTAAGTGGGGGGAGGGGACCTAACCTCCTCTAGGGGGGGTCCGGGGGGCATGCTCCCCCGGGAAGATTTTTTTTTAAATGTTGAAGTTAAAAGCATCAATCTGGTGCACTTTGAGAGCAACATTAAGAGATCTATGGAAACATCTCTCAACATCCATATGAAACAGAACTGGAAGCAGATTTATTTTTCTTTATGGATATTTTACAAATCACTCTCCTTTCAAACTGTATTCTTGTTTATTAATAACAACTTTTTTTTACTGTCATATAGTATTTTATACCTGTTTACTTTATTCTCTTATTTTTTTATAACTATAATGATCATATAAAGATGTGCCTTTACCTCACTGGTTGGAGAAAAAGCTTCTTATATTCGTTAGCATAGTTAGCTAACCAGATGCTAATAACAACAAAGTGATTGGCTGTATGATCAGTATGACAGATGAACAGATCTCCACTGGGCTTTCAACTAAAGACACAGCCACGCAAAAACTGCGGCATGTGTACGGCTCCTTATGGGTACTGACATTTTGTATTTGTATACAGGTGTATTTCAGTATGTAGTGTCTCTAATTTAAAGAGTCCTCTCCTGCTGATGTTCAGGTGTATTTCAGTATTTAGTGTCTCTACTTTAAAGAGTCCTCTCCTGCTGATGTTCAGGTGTATATCAGTATGTAGTGTCTCTACTTTAAAGAGTCCTCTCCTGCTGATGTTCAGGTGTATATCAGTATGTAGTGTCTCTACTTTAAAGAGTCCTCTCCTGCTGATGTTCAGGTGTATATCAGTATGTAGTGTCTCTACTTTAAAGAGTCCTCTCCTGCTGATGTTCAGGTGTATATCAGTATGTAGTGTCTCTACTTTAAAGAGTCCTCTCCTGCTGATGTTCAGGTGTATATCAGTATGTAGTGTCTCTACTTTAAAGAGTCCTCTCCTGCTGATGTTCAGGTGTATATCAGAATGTGGTGTCTCTACTTTAAAGAGTCCTCTCCTGCTGATGTTCAGGTGTATATCAGTATGTAGTGTCTCTACTTTAAAGAGTCCTCTCCTGCTGATGTTCAGGTGTATATCAGTACGTAGTGTCTCTACTTTAAAGAGTCCTCTCCTGCTGATGTTCAGGTGTATATCAGAATGTGGTGTCTCTACTTTAAAGAGTCCTCTCCTGCTGATGTTCAGGTGTATATCAGTATGTAGTGTCTCTACTTTAAAGAGTCCTCTCCTGCTGATGTTCAGGTGTATATCAGAATGTGGTGTCTCTACTTTAAAGAGTCCTCTCCTGCTGATGTTCAGGTGTATATCAGTATGTCGTGTCTCTACTTTAAAGAGTCCTCTCCTGCTGATGTTCAGGTGTATATCAGTATGTAGTGTCTCTACTTTAAAGAGTCCTCTCCTGCTGATGTTCAGGTGTATATCAGAATGTGGTGTCTCTACTTTAAAGAGTCCTCTCCTGCTGATGTTCAGGTGTATATCAGTATGTAGTGTCTCTACTTTAAAGAGTCCTCTCCTGCTGATGTTCAGGTGTATATCAGTATGTAGTGTCTCTACTTTAAAGAGTCCTCTCCTGCTGATGTTCAGGTGTATATCAGAATGTGGTGTCTCTACTTTAAAGAGTCCTCTCCTGCTGATGTTCAGGTGTATATCAGTATGTAGTGTCTCTACTTTAAAGAGTCCTCTCCTGCTGATGTTCAGGTGTATTTCAGTATGTAGTGTCTCTACTTTAAAGAGTCCTCTCCTGCTGATGTTCAGGTGTATATCAGTATGTAGTGTCTCTACTTTAAAGAGTCCTCTCCTGCTGATGTTCAGGTGTATATCAGAATGTGGTGTCTCTACTTTAAAGAGTCCTCTCCTGCTGATGTTCAGGTGTATATCAGTATGTAGTGTCTCTACTTTAAAGAGTCCTCTCCTGCTGATGTTCAGGTGTATATCAGTACGTAGTGTCTCTACTTTAAAGAGTCCTCTCCTGCTGATGTTCAGGTGTATATCAGTATGCAGTGTCTCTACTTTAAGAGTCCTCTCCTGCTGATGTTCAGGTGTATATCAGTACGTAGTGTCTCTACTTTAAAGAGTCCTCTCCTGCTGATGTTCAGGTGTATATCAGTATGCAGTGTCTCTACTTTAAAGAGTCCTCTCCTGCTGATGTTCAGGTGTATATCAGTATGTATTGTCTCTACTTTAAAGAGTCCTCTCCTGCTGATGTTCAGGTGTATATCAGTATGTAGTGTCTCTACTTTAAAGAGTCCTCTCTCCTCAGGTATTACTTCCCCACGTATGAGAACGACGCCCTCCTCTGCACGCTGTCTGACGGTGATGAAGACGAGCGTAACGTCAGCGAAGATGTCCCGGTGATCTCAGAGGACGTTTCCAACCTTCGAGCTTTGAAACAGAACTCCGTCCTCAAATCGATGCTGAAGAGCCGAGGGTCCTGCAGGTAGAAGACTTCCTGTTCCTGGACGACTCTTCCTCCTCCTCATCCTCTGTAAAGAAACTCTAATAATCAAAGCCATTCTGCTTCCCTGAACACTTCAAAACTCTATTTTAAAGTAGAGACACTACTCACTGAGGCTGGTTCCAGGTGGACTTGTGAGGAAGCTGCATCACATGTCCCGCCTCCTTCAGGTGTCGGAGGACTTCCTGTCTGCAGCTGAACGTTTCCTGGCAGCCGTAGCAGCGGCTCTGATGGAGCTGACGGCGGAGGAAGTTCACCAGCTTCACCTGGTCGTAGAAACGCAAATCTGCACACACACACACACACACACACACACACACACACACACACACACACACACACACACACACACACACACACACACACACACACACACACACACACACACACACACACACACACACACACACACACACACACACACACACACACACACACACACACACAGTACATCAACATGTGTCCCCTCTTCTTCATGTCTCTTCTTCATCAACATGTGTCCCCTCTTCTTCATGTCTCTTCTACATCAACATGTGTCCCCTCTTCTTCATGTCTCTTCTACATCAACATGTGTCCCCTCTTCTTCATGTCTCTTCTACATCAACATGTGTCCCCTCTTCTTCATGTCTCTCCTACATCAACATGTGTTGATCATTCCTGCCTACAGTATGTCCATGAAGCTTCTCAACACTCACATAAGAAAAGATAGAATGTAAATACATGTAATGTAATATACTTTTAAATGTTGGCCATGAGGGTTGTGCAACAGGTCACCATGGTCAGTGTGTCTGTGTTTGTTCAAACGGTGCACGAGTGATCATATGTGTATGTATTTTAATGTTTATTATGTTTGTATATGTACATGTATGCTGCAGGACGGAGTCCAGAACAAATGTCCTTACGGGGACATTAAAGTATATCGTATCGTATAACGTCTTCAGTAGGAACCAACGGGATTGCGTGGAGTGACAGGTGATGTAATAATAACAACAAGTACCTGTTTCCGGAGAACTCGTCGCTGCAGAACATGCAGACGCGCTGGAAGCTTCTGTCCTCTCTCTCCTGCTGCTGCTGCTCCAACACCTCCTCCTGCAGGCAGAGGGGGAAGGAGTGGAGTACAAATACTTTGTTACTCTACTTAAGTACATGTTTCTGGTATCAGTACTTTACTCCACTACTTATTTTTCTGAGGACTTTTTACTTTGACTTCTTACATGTTGAACACAAATACCTGTACTTTCTACTTCTTACATGTTGAACACAAATACCTGTACTTTCTACTTCTTACATTTTGAACTCAAATACCTGTACTTTCTACTTCTTACATGTTGAACACAAATACCTGTACTTTCTACTTCTTACATGTTGAACACAAATACCTGTACTTTCTACTTCTTACATTTTGAACACAAATACCTGTACTTTCTACTTCTTACATTTTGAACTCAAATACCTGTACTTTCTACTTCTTACATGTTGAACACAAATACCTGTACTTTCTACTTCTTACATGTTGAACACAAATACCTGTACTTTCTACTTCTTACATTTTGAACACAAATACCTGTACTTTCTACTTCTTACATGTTGAACACAAATACCTGTACTTTCTACTTCTTACATGTTGAACACAAATACCTGTACTTTCTACTTCTTACATTTTGAACACAAATACCTGAACTTTCTACTTCTTACATTTTGAACACAAATACCTGTACTTTCTACTTCTTACATGTTGAACACAAATACCTGTACTTTCTACTTCTCACATGTTGAACACAAATACCTGTACTTTCTACTTCTCACATGTTGAACACAAATACCTGTACTTTCTACTTCTCACATGTTGAACACAAATACCTGTACTTTCTACTTCTCACATGTTGAACTCAAATACCTATACTTTCTACTTCTCACATTTCCCAAACAGGCTGGTTCCTTTAGTTTGAATGTGTGTTTGGTGGCGTGATCATTATTATTTAGAGTCATTGCGTGCCTATTGATTTGAACACGATCCGTGTATCCATCATTTCCTGGTCTTCTCTAAAGAAGAGGGACCAATGAAAACGTTGTCATGTTGCCGTTGTTCAGCATGGAAACATTCATTAGCTAACAATGACATTATTGTTCTATTAATATAAAGGGAGGTCAGGTACTCTTTAAAACAGCTGCTAGTTATGGGTACTTTTTACTGAAGTACATTTCAAAGCCCTCTTTACTTTGTCTTGAGTAAAGAAGTTTAGTCAGTACTTCTACTTTTACCAGAGTATTTTTAAACACGAGTATCTGTACTTCTACTTGATTAAAGGATGTTGGTACTTTTGCCATCCCCTCCTGCAGGAGACACACCGTCAGAAACACCACAGAAGAAGACCTGCCAACCTCAGGCTTAGATCAGGTCTTCCAGATAGACGGACATTTCCTCACCAGACGTTTCTGCTGCAGCTTCTCTCTGAGGACTCGATCCTCTGGGAGGACGTCACACAGCAGGAAGTAGTCCTCCTGCTTCTCTGTAACAACGACACATGAGACATGACAGAGATGTCAGTTTTTCTGAGCAGAGAACAACATATTTCAGTGATTTTTGCTACGAATTTCAAGCTAATGTTGCTTTCACATCGTAGGAGATCAGGGGTGCATGAACAGTGGTTCAGAGTGTTGACCATCTCAGGGACTCAGGGGGTTAGGGTTAGGCGGTGCTTTCACTGAGTTGGGGTCCTTCTCAGGTCGATTAAATGGAATCCTTGCGTCCCTCACTTGCGTGGTTTCCCTGCGTTTAGTCCCTCCCACCAGGGAAGCATGGAGAGACGCAAGGAAACCACGAGAAGCAGGGAAATGAGTTTTAAGAGCAATGGGACGTCCTTTCCTCCGGAGCATCACGTGAAGCGACGTCCGTTTGTGATGACGCCGCACAGCTGTTCGTCTGACAGCAGCTCTGTCCCCGTTGTTTTCACAAACACCCCCGCCTCTGTTAGTACACATTTACTGACACAAACATTTGTATCATCTGTTGTAGACCTAAATACATTAAATAAAATAAGAACTCATTCTCAAAAAAGATAAACGCCATTCTTAAAATGTATAAACGAACAATAGTTGGATTAATTTTGATTAGAGTGCACAATATAAATAAAATAATTCAGAGAAGAAAAAGAGATATATGTTATCTATCAAAACCCAGTTAGATTAACATTCATTGGATTGCACACTTTGTCTGTTTGTGTGGATATGTAGCAAATTAACATGTTAAATAGCACTTAATGACTGACTGAATGGAAATGACAATAAATGAAAATGTAAAACGAAAAAAGCGATCACGAAAATGTTTCCAATAAATGAATAAAATTATTTTTGACCACTTTGTTGTTCAGATATATCACATATTTGTAACTGAATGATGCATTCATTGAAACAAAACACAGTATGAACTGAGGAGTGAGTCCCGTGAGTTTCATGTGATTTCTTCACTCTGCTGGGAAACTCTGCTCTCATGTCAAGAAGCATCAGATCAGTGCATGCGCTGCATCGTCCAATCAGTGAGCGATACACAGTAAGGGGGCGGGGCGAGTATCTGAGGATTACACCGGAGGATGGTCTGGTGGTTCCTCGGTTATCGCTCCTCCATTATCGCTCCTCGCTCCTCGATCCTCGGTCCTCCGGCAGAAATAAGAGCCATGGGACGCTACTCAAGATGGCGCAGACAAATCAACTTCCGGTGAGACCGAGGACCAAGGACCGAGGAAATGAAAATAGTCGACCTGAGAAGGACCCAGGGTCTACACGTGAATAAAAGTAAGAAGTCAAATGGGTTTTGATACCAAGTGTTAGAAAAATATCACTCGTCCCCGGCTTGAGCTTCAACATCAGGATCCATGTATTTATTATCCTCTCAAGAATGGAAGTAGTCAAAAGAAAAAAAGAGAATTTGTTGGTATTTTTCTCAAAATATCAAAATTCTGACTTTTTCTCAAAAGTGTAAAAAATCTTACTTTTTCTCAAAAACCACAGAATGCTGACTTTTTCTCAAAAACCACAAAATTATGACTTTTTCTCAAAAACCACAAAATTATGACTTTTTCTCAAAAACCACAAAATTATGACTTTTTCTCAAAATTCTGACTTTTTCTCAAAATTCTGACTTTTTCTCAAAATTCTGACTTTTTCTCAAAAGTGTATAAAATCATACTTTTTCTCAAAAACCACAAAATTATGACTTTTTTCAAAAACCACAAAATTATGACTTTTTCTCAAAAACCACAAAATTATGACTTTTTCTCCAAATCCACAAAATTATGACTTTCTCAAAAACCACAAATGTATGACTTTTTCTCAAAAACCACAAAATTATGACTTTTTCTCAAAAACACAAAATTATGACTTTTTCTCAAAAAACACAAAATTATGACTTTTTCTCAATGTGTTTCTAAATGTCTGTCCGTGTCTTCAGAAGAACTGACACATACATGTAAATATATCTAACATGTATATATGACATGTTCAAACATGTTCATTTAATTCATTTCTCATTTTAAAAGTTACTGTATATGTGACCCGCTCTATCGAAATCAGTCGGAAGTCGCAACGGCTCATTTCAAAATAAACGTGGATTTGCGTAAAAAACTATTTTTTCGGGGTTCGGGTGTTTTGTTTGATTTTAAATAAACAAAGTCTTGGCTTTCAGAATAGGAAACTTTTATTTCCAAAATCACACAATAAATACATTTGTGAAGCTTGTAAAGGGAAGATGACAGGCACCTCTCGCTCGCAATCTGCTCTTCCGTAGCGCCGCTCCCCCTCCCTCCGGCTGACATTATGAATGTAAGGCGTATAGTAATCATAGATAACACGGCAGGGTCCGTTACAGTTTGTTTTCATCTGATTTCAATTAAACAAAGTCTTGGCTTTCAGAATATTAAACTTGTTTCGGCAAATTTAGATGATAAATACAACTATGAAGCTTGTAACGGCATATTTACAAGCGGAGAACGGAGTAATTTAACGTCACAGCAAGCATAACAACACTCGTGAGTGTTTCCCCCGGGAAACAAACACAATATACACAAACGCAAAAATACACAAACACACACACACTCGCGAGCTTCCCCCAGACCAGTAATCCAAACGGAAATATTTTCCCTCCGGACTATTTTTGATCATTAGCTGATAACCAATCAGATCGATGGATTCCAGAGAAGAGGAAACTTTGAAGGCCTTTTTCTCAAAATGATGACTCGGTGACAGTCATTATATAATGTGACATATTTTGCTTAATATTTGGAGTACAAAAACAATCTTGATATCATTAGAAAGCTAGGAATCTCCTCTTTCCAACAGTGTATACAACTCAAAATGTGTCTTCGGGTCAATGCGACTGATTTCGATGGAGCAGGTCACATATAATTTTTTCTTTAATTGTATTAATCTTTAATCTTGTGTGAATCTGTGCTGCTTTTCTTTCTCACCCTGTTGCTGTTAAACTGAACTTCCCCATGGAGATTAATAAAAGGTCCATTTTATATGATCTAATCTTATCTTATCGTATCTTAGAAAGTGACCTCACCTATGGGGCCGGTGGAGTTAGTTTTGATGACGCTGCAGAAATCTGTGATGGGCTGTTCCAGGAACCGTCCTCTCCAGAACACCAAGTACCTGAGAGGGGGGGGGGAGGAGGAATCAGGATCAGCGTCCATCACACAGGAGAGAAGAACACACACCTCAACTTGGAAGGACCACATTGAACATCTGGACAAAACAAAGAATGTATTTTCTCCGCCATCTGAGGTCTTTCTGGGCGAGCAGAGAAATTCTTCTGTTGTTCTTTACCTCTGTGATTGTGTCTGTTCTAGAGTACTGCAACACTACCTGGTACAAGTGTTTGTCCAAATCAAAATCCTGTCAGAGCCTTTGTGACTCAGCAGACCATAATAACCTGAGAGGCTCCAACAGCATCCTCTGGGACCCAAAGCATGCTCTGACAGAGAATATGAAGTGCTGCCATCTAATGGAGATCAATCATGAGACAGGATGGAGTTGATTCTGTTCTGGCTTTATGGGTCAGTATTTGTAAGCAGCTGTGACTGAAAGAATATTGCTTTGATTTGACTTTTGAATGGTTAGTTCATTTTGTTTTGGTTTTGAAGAGGCAGGTCAAATAAGAGTTTCTTCTCCCTGCTCCTTTCCACCATGCGCTATAAGAGGAAAAGAATAGAAGTGTACATGTTTTATTTTCAAATACCTGCCATGTGTGGAATAAACAAATCAATCAATCAAATACTAGCACAGCCGGCTAGCTCTCTGCTGTTTGGCTTCATCACAAACTGCAGACAGGAACATTCTCCACATTCATTTCATCTCAAAGACTGCAGCCACTATTTACAAATATTTAGGGCTATTCTACTGCATCCTTTGGTTCCTATCAGCCTTTAGAAACACACAGTTAGAAACACACTACATTCATACACTTCTGTACATTTCATGTATTTAGACTGAGTAAATATGCACATTGACATTGAGTGTTATCTCGTTGCGCTGTCATCGCTACGACCTCTGCTTTCACCTCTGATTCATTTATTTGTGTCTATTTGTTACTGCAGTGAGAGTTGCCAAAGACATGTCGTTGTACTTTGTATGATGACAATAAAGATATGTTCTATTCTATCCCTGAGTTTGATCTCCAGCTGCAGCTCGTACTTTGGGAGGTCAGCGATGAGTTTGACGTCTGCGATGACCAGCTTGTGCTCCAGCAGCAGGTGTTTGAGGAGGACGTCTTTCTGTCTCTCTGAGTCGGGACAGAAGAGACAGACCAGCAGCTCCTCACCGGGGACACCGGGAGCATCAGGCGGCTGCTCCGGGAAACTCAGAGGCTCCAGGATGCTGTCGTCACCTGAGGGTTACATTATGTTAGTGGCAAATCACAACATTCAAAACTGTTATTTCCTTTATATTTTAAGACGCAGTGCAGAATACAGAATTAAAAAAACAGTGTTCCTCTTAGTCTTAACTGCTCTTTACTACAGTACTGAAGACTAAGTTAAGTCACAGTTAAGACTAAGTTAAATTACTGTTAAGTACTTAGTTAAGACCGCGGAGCCCTTACGTTTGGACCAATCCGCGGACTTGCTCACACACACACACACACACACACACACACACACACACACACACACACACACACACACACACTACTCACACACACACACACACACACACACACACACACACACACACACACACACACACACACACACACACACACACACACACATACTCACACACACACACACACACACAAACACACACACACACACACACACACACACACACACACACACACACACACACACACACACACACACCGTTGGCCATTGGGAGCACCTCAGAGTTCAGTATTCAGCACCTCTCTTTTTAGTGACATACTCTACAAAACACCTCGCTGTTCACCAGTTTAATTTTATATTAGATTATATTAAACGATGTTGTGTGTCTCTACCTGCAGGTTGGAGTTCCTGTGGGTAGACACACATCGTTTACCCTGAAGATATTATATTAAATGATATTAAACGATATATATATCTGTTATTACCTGTCTCTCTCGCTCTCTGTATGTAATTTATTCGGAAATGTTTCTACATAATATTTTGTATTGCTTGTATTTGATATAATATTTTTCATTTTGTTTGTAATTGTTATTTTCTCTATTTCACTTTTTAAAGTATTTTTAATGTCTAACTTTATATGTCCAGTTCCGGTGATTGACCACCAGGGGGCGCCAACACCTCAGCTTCTCCTCCCTGGTTGCATTTTATTTGACTTTTTTTGCAGTTGAATTATTTCACAAAATCAGAGACAGTGTGTTTTCTTTCTAATCAAATAAACATGGTCATTGAAGGAAACTCAGGTTAGGTTCAAAGGATGAAGTTCTTCTGCTCTTCAGAATCAGAACTGGCTTTATTACCTGGAGGTTCACACATAAGAGGAATTGGCTTTTGTAAATGTGGTGCATACAGAGACACAGAAAGAACAATACGGAGCAAATTCAGAGGCAAATATGATGCTTTTTATACGTGTTTACATATTAAAACACATGATATATGATATGATGCAGCACTGATATAACATGCTCTCCTCATTGACAAACCACATCGTTAAAATGCTCCTTTTGACCTCTTAGTGATAGAAATAAGATAATATATTATCCTATAATTGTATAATACTGTAATAAAGAGCCATTCTACATATCAGAATCAAAATCAGAATCCCTAAGTTAAGGTTAAGTTTAGTAACTGTTAAGACCAAGTTCAGTTAAGGTTAAGACTAAGTTAAGACTAAGTTCAGTTAAGGTTAAGACTAAGTTATGTTAAGGTTAAGACTAAGTTAAGACTAAGTTAAGTTAAGGTTAAGACTAAGTTAAGTTAAGGTTAAGACTAAGTTAAGACTAAGTTCGGTTAAGGTTAAGACTAACTTAAGTTAAGGTTAAGACTAAGTTAAGTTACTGTTAAGACTAAGTTAAGTTAAGGTTAAGACTAAGTTAAGTTACTGTTAAGACTAAGTTAAGTTAAGGTTAAGACTAAGTTAAGACTAAGTTAAGTTACTGTTAAGACTAAGTTAAGTTACTATTAAGACTAAGTTAAGACTAAGTTAAGTTAAGGTTAAGACTAAGTTAAGTTACTATTAAGACTAAGTTAAGACTAAGTTAAGTTACTATTAAGACTAAGTTAAGTTACTATTAAGACTAAGTTAAGTTAAGGTTAAGACTAAGTTAAGTTACTATTAAGACTAAGTTAAGACTAAGTTAAGTTACTATTAAGACTAAGTTAAGTTACTATTAAGACTAAGTTAAGACTAAGTTAAGTTAAGGTTAAGACTAAGTTAAGTTACTATTAAGACTAAGTTAAGTTACTATTAAGACTAAGTTAAGTTACTATTAAGACTAAGTTAAGACTAAGTTAAGACTAAGTTAAGTTACTGTTAAGACTAAGTTAAGTTAAGGTTAAGACTAAGTTAAGTTACTGTAAAGACTAAGTTAAGTTAAGGTTAAGACTAAGTTAAGACTAAGTTAAGTTACTGTTAAGACTAAGTTAAGTTACTATTAAGACTAAGTTAAGTTACTATTAAGACTAAGTTAAGTTAAGGTTAAGACTAAGTTAAGTTACTATTAAGACTAAGTTAAGACTAAGTTAAGTTACTATTAAGACTAAGTTAAGTTACTAATAAGACTAAGTTAAGACTAAGTTAAGTTAAGGTTAAGACTAAGTTAAGTTACTATTAAGACTAAGTTAAGTTACTATTAAGACTAAGTTAAGACTAAGTTAAGTTAAGGTTAAGACTAAGTTAAGTTACTATTAAGACTAAGTTAAGACTAAGTTAAGTTACTATTAAGACTAAGTTAAGTTACTATTAAGACTAAGTTAAGACTAAGTTAAGTTACTATTAAGACTAAGTTAAGTTACTATTAAGACTAAGTTAAGACCAAGTTCAGTTAAGGTTAAGACTAAGTTAAGTTAAGGTTAAGACTAAGTTAAGACAAAGTTAAGTTAAGGTTAAGACTAAGTTAAGTTACTGTTAAGACTAAGTTAAGTTACTGTTAAGACTAAGTTAAGTTACTGTTAAGACTAAGTTAAGACTAAGTTAAGTTACTGTTAAGACTAAGTTAAGACTAAGTTAAGTTACTGTTAAGACTAAGTTAAGACTAAGTTAAGTTACTGTTAAGACTAAGTTAAGTTAAGGTTAAGACTAAGTTAAGTTACTGTTAAGACTAAGTTAAGTTAAGGTTAAGACTAAGTTAAGTTACTGTTAAGACTAAGTTAAGACTAAGTTAAGTTACTGTTAAGACTAAGTTAAGTTACTGTTAAGACTAAGTTAAGACTAAGTTAAGTTACTGTTAAGACTAAGTTAAGTTAAGGTTAAGAATAAGTCAAGTTACTATTAAGACTAAGTTAAGTTACTATTAAGACTAAGTTAAGACTAAGTTAAGACTAAGTTAAGTTACTGTTAAGACTAAGTTAAGTTACTGTTAAGACTAAGTTAAGTTAAGGTTAAGACTAAGTTAAGACTAAGTTAAGTTACTGTTAAGACTAAGTTAAGTTACTATTAAGACTAAGTTAAGACTAAGTTAAGTTAAGGTTAAGACTAAGTTAAGTTACTATTAAGACTAAGTTAAGACTAAGTTAAGTTACTATTAAGACTAAGTTAAGTTACTATTAAGACTAAGTTAAGTTAAGGTTAAGACTAAGTTAAGTTACTATTAAGACTAAGTTAAGACTAAGTTAAGTTACTATTAAGACTAAGTTAAGTTAAGGTTAAGACTAAGTTAAGTTACTATTAAGACTAAGTTAAGACTAAGTTAAGTTACTATTAAGACTAAGTTAAGTTACTATTAAGACTAAGTTAAGACTAAGTTAAGTTAAGGTTAAGACTAAGTTAAGTTACTATTAAGACTAAGTTAAGTTACTATTAAGACTAAGTTAAGACTAAGTTAAGTTAAGGTTAAGACTAAGTTAAGTTACTATTAAGACTAAGTTAAGACTAAGTTAAGTTACTATTAAGACTAAGTTAAGTTACTATTAAGACTAAGTTAAGACTAAATTAAGTTACTATTAAGACTAAGTTAAGTTACTATTAAGACTAAGTTAAGACCAAGTTCAGTTAAGGTTAAGACTAAGTTAAGTTAAGGTTAAGACTAAGTTAAGACAAAGTTAAGTTAAGGTTAAGACTAAGTTAAGTTACTGTTAAGACTAAGTTAAGTTACTGTTAAGACTAAGTTAAGTTACTGTTAAGACTAAGTTAAGACTAAGTTAAGTTACTGTTAAGACTAAGTTAAGACTAAGTTAAGTTACTGTTAAGACTAAGTTAAGACTAAGTTAAGTTACTGTTAAGACTAAGTTAAGTTAAGGTTAAGACTAAGTTAAGTTACTATTAAGACTAAGTTAAGTTACTATTAAGACTAATTTAAGACTAAGTTAAGACTAAGTTAAGTTACTGTTAAGACTAAGTTAAGTTAAGGTTAAGACTAAGTTAAGTTACTGTTAAGACTAAGTTAAGTTAAGGTTAAGACTAAGTTAAGACTAAGTTAAGTTAAGGTTAAGACTAAGTTAAGTTACTATTAAGACTAAGTTAAGTTAAGGTTAAGACTAAGTTAAGTTACTATTAAGACTAAGTTAAGACTAAGTTAAGTTACTATTAAGACTAAGTTAAGTTACTATTAAGACTAAGTTAAGACTAAGTTAAGTTAAGGTTAAGACTAAGTTAAGTTACTATTAAAACTAAGTTAAGTTACTCTTAAGACTAAGTTAAGACTAAGTTAAGTTAAGGTTAAGACTAAGTTAAGTTACTATTAAGACTAAGTTAAGACTAAGTTAAGTTACTATTAAGACTAAGTTAAGTTACTATTAAGACTAAGTTAAGACTAAGTTAAGTTACTATTAAGACTAAGTTAAGTTACTATTAAGACTAAGTTAAGACCAAATTCAGTTAAGGTTAAGACTAAGTTAAGTTAAGGTTAAGACTAAGTTAAGACAAAGTTAAGTTAAGGTTAAGACTAAGTTAAGTTACTGTTAAGACTAAGTTAAGTTACTGTTAAGACTAAGTTAAGTTACTGTTAAGACTAAGTTAAGTTACTGTTAAGACTAAGTTAAGACTAAGTTAAGTTACTGTTAAGACTAAGTTAAGTTAAGTTTAAGACTAAGTTAAGTTACTATTAAGACTAAGTTAAGTTACTATTAAGACTAAGTTAAGACTAAGTTAAGACTAAGTTAAGTTACTGTTAAGACTAAGTTAAGTTAAGGTTAAGACTAAGTTAAGTTACTGTTAAGACTAAGTTAAGTTAAGGTTAAGACTAAGTTAAGACTAAGTTAAGTTACTGTTAAGACTAAGTTAAGTTACTAT